CCCCCCCCCCCTCCCGCCTCATTAGGCTTTGTTGGTGGTTCTCGCAGGCTTCCTGTCGACCCTTCAAACTGTGCCGATCTTTGGGATTTTCAATGAACACTAATCATCTAGAAGACCTGTTTTTTCGTGTGCTTGCTAAATCTGAACTACAACGTCTATTTGCTTGACTTAAGTAAAACAGAAATTCTGGCATGCTATTTTCTGTTCTAAATGGATATCATGCTATTTTCTGTTCTAAATGGATATGTCATAATTAAAAGCTTTATAATCGCGAATAGAAGGTTTAAAAATGAGATAAATGAGGAAAACCAGGGAGAGTGAACTGGGTTTTTTCTTTTTCTTTTTCGTTCAGAATCTCATAAACCTGAAGAAGAAGATGTCTTTATGGATGATGATGAAGCACCAAAAGAAGAATATCATGAAGATGAGAAGGATAAAGATGGTGGGTGGACTGAGGTCAAAGATACTGCCAAAGAAGAACCCACTCCTGAGGATAATGAGACAATAGCTCCCGATGAAACAATCCATGAAGTTCCTGTTGGAAAGGGATTATCCAGTGTACTGAAACTGCTTAAGGATCGTGGGACTCTGAAGGAAAGCATTGAATGGGGTGGCAGAAACATGGACAAGAGAAAGAGCAAACTTGTTGGTATAATAGATGAAGATGAACCAAAGGAAGCTAAGTCAAAGGATTCCCGTTTATCTTCTTTGGTGGATTACAAAAAGGAGATTCACATCGAGAGGACTGATGAATTTGGGCGAATTGTAAGTTAGCTTCGACTCTATAATTTACCTAGCCAAGTAGTTCATATCTAGTTTACTTGCACCACATATTCACTTACTGGTTTTTAAATGCCTACTGGTAGTGTAATGAGGAGCTAGGTGCCAAGTTAAAGTAGGATTTCTTTTTTAAATGCGTAAAATTACATTTAGGAAATTGTGTTCGTTTACTTCTCAAATTGCCATACTTAAGTCATGCTTGCTCTTCTTCTTTGTATTTTATTCCAACAATGAAATGCACTCACTACCAGAAGACAAATAATACACAAAGACATTCAAGTTGCGCTAAATATGAGTCTCTCATCTCTGAATTGTTGGCAGTCTTACATGTTTATGCCAACTGCACAGGGCTTTTGCCTAGAGGTGTCAATTTTGTTCTCTTGTTCCAATGGAGTTTGATTATAATTTCTGGTCTATCTTTTCTATGGGCTGCTTTAGGATGTGATATTACTCCTATGCTTACCATTAAGGAGTTTTCTATTCTCACTTGTGCCTTTCTACTGTACCAGATGACTCCAAAGGAGTCATTTCGCCAACTTTCTCACAAGTTCCATGGCAAGGGACCTGGGAAAATGAAACAAGAAAAGCGCATGAAGCAATACCAAGAAGAGTTGAAGTTGAAGCAGATGAAGAATGCAGATACACCTTCGTTATCAGTGGAGAGAATGAGGGAAGCTCAAGCACAATTAAAAACACCTTACCTTGTTCTCAGCGGTCACGTTAAACCTGGGTATGCTCCGTTTTCATTGGAACAAGTATTTTGCCTCTTGTTTTTGCATTTAGCCATTCAGTTTCAAACTGTTCTCTGGTTTTCTTTAATGTTTGTAGCCAAACAAGTGATCCAAGAAGTGGTTTTGCTACCGTCGAAAAGGATCTCCCCGGCGGCTTGACACCCATGCTTGGTGACAGAAAAGTGAGTATTCTTTCCTTATTCCTCCAAGTATTTAATACTCAACGAGATTTATAGTATCGAGGAAGTTCTTCAAGAATTGGTGGCAGCTATTGATAAGTTAGGAACATATGCAATACGGGAGATTTCTAGTTATATGCGTACCCGAATTTCATTTGTGTGCACTCTAAGCATATACTCATTCATATTTTCATTTTTGTCTCAATCTAAGTTCAATTTTTAAATCAACTGCCTTATTACCAAACTTCGACTCTCAGCATATAGAATTCGTCATTTCGAGACGCGGTCGCTGTTAGTTTATATAAGTTGATCATCTTATTTTCAGGTCGAGCATTTCTTGGGGATAAAGCGAAAAGGCGATCCTTCGAATACAGGCACAAAGAAGCCAAAAATTTGAGATATGTAACTTTTTACCAGAATTAGTACCAAGAACTAGAAACCCATGATTAGTTTAGTTTAGTTTATTTTTCTTCACCAACAAGATGAACTTCGTATATTCAATTTCACATCCTCATCAAATAACAGTGTGCTTGAATTGTTTGTTTGTTGTATGATAATCGATAAATGATGAGGGATTACTCTTATAAATTATGGAAATTCATATTACAAAAATACATTATAATATTGGATACCTTAGGTAGTCGCATTGTTCGAACATGTCAATTGGTTTCGACACTAATTGGTATAAATATTTTTTTATTATTAGAGTTACATATTTTGTGAATATAATTCATTGTTTAGACAGACGTGTTCTAAAAATTTTAAAAATGATAGATTATACGAATATTTTAGCTATTATATTTTTCAATTTTGGAGAAAAAAAAAATTTGCAGCTAATTTTTTCCCAATATTTTTATTTTTCTACTTTTAAAAAATTATTATTTTAGTCCATTTATTTTCTTTTTTTTTTTAATGATAGTTTATCATGATATTTTAATTACTAAATTTCTTGAAATTAAACTATAAATTTATATTAAAGAATTTTGATAATTTGTGTTTAAATTTTGTAAATATTAGACTAAATTGGTTACTTAATGAATTTTGAAATAAAATTAAAAAGGATTTATTGAATTTATCAGTCGGAGGGTTAAAAAAATCGGATAAAAAGCAAACTCCCGGAATTACGAATTTCGAGGGAAATCTAAATCAAATTAAGGAGATTGGAGTGGCGGCCATGTTCGTTAATCAAAGAGGATCCAGACCATGGGCCACACCGGAGGCGTTGCCGGTGTCCGGTGGGGTTCCGATACCACCCAACAAAAAAATGGTCAAATGCGATGCTTCTGTTCATTGCTCTCGTGGTCATAGCAGACATTATCTTTCTGGTTCGGCTTGATATTTCAAAAAATGTAGCCATGGTGTTGATTCATGGCCCGATTTGTTCTACCGCTCGCCGCCTTCCCGTGCACTGATCGGTGGAGTTGATGATTCGAATTCCCGGGTATTCGACGGCGATCGGATTTCGGAATTGGGGAGATGTGAGGAGTGGTTGGAGAAAGAAGACGCCGTGACGTATTCTAGGGATTCCGGAAGGAGCCTATATTGGTTTCTGGTTCTGATGAGGTTTGTTTCGTTTTTGGATTCCGTATCATGCTTTTAATTGTTGTTTATGTAATGAAATGTTCTCTGTTTTCGTGTTTTATTACAATGCACTGCATCAATACGTTATTTAATGTGCTGCATCGATGTAGAAATCCATGTAATGCTGCGCACATTTCGATATCATTTGATATGCAAATGTTCCGCTCCATGATCAGTTTTCGATGAGCTTTATTTCTTATGCGTGGAGAGAGATATGGCGTTTTGGTCTTCTATCAGGAGCTTAGATGTTAGTGCCAAGATAGTTCGTATAAAGCCGTCGATTTTAGGAAAATATCTTTTATAATTAGAAGATCAAATTGAAATTGTGGACGTCTACATTGAATAAATTAGTTTTCATAAAATCATATGAAGATAGTTATGATTTTGATATTTTTAATTTAAGTCCAACTTTGTTAGCCAACTTAGAATTTACTGGACATCGGGCTATACCCAGCAAGGAGGCTGAGCTCCGAAGGGGTGGACATGAGGCCATGTGCCAGCAAGGATACTGGCCTCGAAGGGGTGAATTTGGTGGGAGTCCCACGTCAATTGGAGAAAGGAACGAGTGCCAGCGAGGACGCCGGGCCCCGAAGGGGGGGTGGATTGTGAGATCCCACATCGGTTGGGGAGAAGAACGAATCACCCTTTATAAGGGTGTGGAAACCTCTCCCTAGCAGACACGTTTTAAAAACTTTGAGGGAAAGTCCAAAGATGACAATATCTACTAGCGATAGGCTTGAGCCATTTCAGTTGTGTCCAGATGGTTGGCCGGAATTGAACCTGAAACGTGCAAAACCTGAAGTATGAGACTATGAACCTGAAGTATGAGACTATGAACTGAGCTAAAGGGAGTTGCTGGCTAGCATTGGGAAAGGGCAAAATCTTTCTTTAGTTTATGACTCTGGACAAAATGAAAACGAATAAGAATCCGATAACGAGATCCTTTCACATCCTCGTCCCCTCTTTGGAAGTTCCAACCATTTATATTTTACTTCTCTGGGTTGGAATGCCATTCATAAACATTTTACGCCTCTCATGATGCTTGCCTATGAACATTGTGAATCTCTTCATTCAACTCCTTGAAGGCTCTCGCTTCTCGAGGAAGATTGGTAACATTTGGTAAAATACCCTCCTTAAGCACATGTGATCGTCAAAAAACAATAGATTTTCAAGGACAAATGTGAGGATACTTTAAAATGACTTTCTTTGATATTTTAAATCACCCAAAAAAGTTATTAGTTCATCTTCTATTTGTTCGTTCATTGTGTTTGAAGGCCTCATGAAAATGAAAGGGAAATTTTGTTTATACCATGCATGAGTTATCTCCATCTTCCTGCTATTAATATACTAAAAGTTTAAGAATTTATGTACAAACTTCGGGGTGACATCTAACCATATTCTTGTTGAGATTGATTTCTTGATGACTTGAAGCTCTAAAATTCTAATTTGCGCATGTTTTTGCAGCAAAGAAAAAAACATCTAAAGCCTTTTAGTTAATTGTTCTCCTGTAGGGGAGGAAATCTTGTGCTATAGGAAGTGAATTTAAGGTCAATTCAAGTAGAGATTCCGATGCTGCGTTTGGTTTAGATCACCAGGGTGGAATGCCTTCAATTCTTCAATCCATGGTATCAACTCTATATTTTGCAGAGAACAATATTGTCCAGGCACGACGGTGGGTAAGAACAATCTCTTATCTTACCATTATGCTATTTGGAGTACAAAACTTCCCCTTCTTAGCAAGAACATATTTAATGCTTATTTTTATTTTTTCATTTAACACCGAGGCAATAAAATATTTGGGCGTAAGTGTCATGTATGATTACAAAAACCATGCATGGTTTGCTTGTTTTTCCACAGTCAATCTGAATAAAATACCCAAAAAACTTCACTAGTAGAGGAAGACTGCCAGTTCCATTTGTCTATGCAGAAAACAAAGGGCTTAAAAGGAAGGCTGTCAGAAGAGCTATATGTTTTGGGTTGAGAAATTGGGGGGTTGTAAAGGTTTCGTGGGCTGTTATGCAAAGTTGGTTGCAATGGGGTTATGGTGATTTGTCGAAAGTTAGTTGGGTGAGGTAGTCACTAAAGCTGAAGGGGAGAGGTGGGAAGGAGGGTTAGTTAGAGAGAGGAATGTGAAAAGGAGTCCGAACCTTTGAAAGCTTGGGAAATAAGAAAACGAATCTTAGTTACAAGGAGATGTGGTTATAGTGCAAAATGGAAATGCAGGATGGTAGGAAGATCGAATTATATGGTAGATAAGCTAGAGTTGGATGAGGGAATGCAGAGGGCAAGTTATCCATGATGGAGAGAAACTTCAAGGTCCTCACGGAAGGGGTTCAATAGTTGGTATGAGTGCACAAATTGTAAGAGAACTATTATGGTAGAAGTCTATGTAGTCCCAAACTAGTCGTATACAAGAGTTTACCCATGAGGAGAAGAGTACAAGGAAGGTAAGGGAGGCGGCGCTCTGTAAATGCATGTTTTGTAGGCTAGTGATCTGATGTATCGAGAGCATAGCGATTTAATCGCTTAGAGGCTAGGAAGCTTTAAAAGCTTGTTCAATTTTAAGGGGGAAACATTGATATGTTTTCTGCGGTTTGATGAATGGAAAACTATCAACAGTACAATATTGGCAGTCATGGACCATCTAAAGAAATATGGCAGCCATTTCTTCCTTTTTTTCGACACTCTTTTACAGCTCCAATTGTAGCTGTGTTTTGTTCAAGCGAAAAGTAAGATCCATGGTTTTCCTAATCAATCAGTCACCATATTATCCTCAGAATTCTCTAACATAGTCTTTGATGCTTTTCTGTAGGAATGGTTATAGTATAGTAATGACCACCAGTCTCTCATCAGATGTACCTTTTGGATACTTCTCCTGGGCCGAGTACGATATCATGGCTCCAGTGCAGGCAAAGAATGAGAGTGCCCTTGCAGCTGCTTTCATTTTTGCAGTTGGGTTGACACAGAGGCAAGCTTTATATACCTTAAGATTTCAAGGGGATTCTGATCTCAGAAAACATGTGGAAGATAACCCATGTGCCAAATTTGAAGCCATTTTCATATAGTTTGATCTGAAGGTCGCTTTATTTCATGTTTTCGACTCGAATAGGCAGCCACAAACCCTTTGTAAATGTTCTGTTGATTGTAAAGAGGAAATTCACACCGCTTCTTCTTAGAGTCCTTACCTTTTCGATACTTTAAGCCCTTGCCCTTTGCCTAGTCTCGACTCCCCCCAGCTAAGTACTTCCATTCTAGTAGGCTAGCTACCTGTACATGATGTTTGAATAGGCTAACATAATACTGAAAATTTCAATCCTTTCGAGAATTTTGGTTTGGCACAAACCATGAATGTGGAAATGAAAGAAGTTTCAATCTGTCTGTTCTCTTTTAAATTTTTGTTTCCTAAAACAATTGATCTGTGACAGAGAAAATATTGGGAGGAGATTGTGGTGAACCGGTTTCAAGCAAAAAGCTTCTACTACAATATGACTTTGTTGTGCTTGATGAAGATGCAAGATACCTTCCTTCTCCACTGTGAAAAATCACATCACTTCTATGCCCTTTTCTCCTGCTCATGCTCTGCCTTCCTTCACTCCCTCCATATTCTTCTTCTTCATCAACAGCTTCCACCAGCTCTTGATGCACCGGGTCCGAACTCTCGTACAATACTCGAAGCACCTGTTTAATTGACGGCCTTACCCTTCCTTCTCCCTCGGTGCACCATCTCACAATCGACACGACTGTGTGGAGTTGTTCTAAGTCGAAACAACTCTTGATCCTTGGATCTACTAGTTCCGATATCCTTGAATCTGGAACCATGTACACCTGAGACCATTCTACTAAATTCTTACCATCTTGTATAGCACGTCTCCCCGTAACTATTTCCAGGAGCAGCACGCCATAGCTGTATATATCACTTTTCTCGGTAAGCTCTTGCGTGATAACATACTCGGGATCCATATAACCTGAAATTCATTAGCATTGAGATATTGCTAGCATAAGAAACGACGATATTCAAACATAAGTTGAAGAACTCGTCTTCTTCCAAACCTGGTGTTCCACAGATGTCGGTGTTTACGGGTTCAAAGAAAATAGAACCGCCCTCTGAAGCATGCGCAAGGCCGAAATCTGCAATCTGAAAGAAGAAACAGAATAATAAGAAGTTAAGGCATTTGGGTCTGCAGTTTGTTACCAAATGAACTTCCCATGTTACCTTAGCAACAAAGTTCTCATCCAGCAAAATGTTGCTGGACTTAATGTCTCTATGGCATAGTGGGGGATCACAATAATAATGAAGGTACTCCTGCGGAGGACAAGTTCAAGTCACTAAAAACGTTGCAAAAAGACAGCTTTTGATGGTTAAGCTAGTAGTTCATTAGCTCTTGATGGGAACAAGAGTATCAGCACACTACCAGAGCATTGGCGACATCGATGGCAATTTGTATTCTCGTCTGCCAACTTAGAGGCGTCCTGCCGGGACCTGCACGAGCGTAAGAATGCATTTACTTATACACTGATTCAAGGGAAGATGATTAAAAGAAGCTCTTTCATTTGACCCAAAAACTTGACTAAGCATACAGGGCTACCAAAATCATATTAATCCAAAAACTTGACTAAGCATGCTTAAGCCCGTTATGTATTGCCGTCAGCCTCACAGTTTTAAAACACGTTGCTAGGGAGATGTTTCCATACCCTTATAAATAAAGAGTTTCTCTAGCAAATAATGTCCTTATAAAGGTATGGAAACCTCTCCCTAACAGACACGTTTTAAAACTGTGAGGCTAAAGGCGATACATAACGGGTTAAAGTGGACAATATTTGCTAGCAGTGGGCTTGGGCTGTTAAAGGTGGTATCAGAGCTAGACACCGAGGAGTGTGCCAGCGAGGACGTTGGACCCCTAAGGGGGTGGATTGTGAGATCCCATATTAGTTGGAGAGGGGAACAAAATATTCCTTATAATGGTGTGGAAACCTCTCTCTTGTAGACGAATTTTAAAACCGTGAGGTTAATGGCGATACATAACAGACTAAAGCGGATATAATCTACTAGCAGTGAAACTAACATACCATGAAGATGATCCTTCAAGCTTCCATTAGTCATATATTCGTACACAAGAAACCTACCAATGAAAAAACAAGTAGCATTTCATATTGTTGGCACATGATCTTAAACGCCCCGAAAAAAGTTAATCACTTGGTGAATTACCGTTCATGCTTATCAACACAAAAGCCTCTTAAAGCAACAAGGTGTCTGTGATGTAATCTTGCGAGCAGCTCGATTTCTCGGCCAAATTCATCCTCCCCCTGCTCGGAGACTTTGTTCATCCTCTTCACAGCTACCACTAAGTCATCACTGAATTGAGCTTTATAAACGGTTCCATATCCTCCTTGTCCAATTGTTGTACTAAAACTATCTGTTGCCTTCTTGATCTCTTTATAGCTGAACTTTTTAAACGTAGAAGGTCCTGCACGAGATGTCAAGTGCAACAAAGAGGAAGAACAGGAAGATTATTTGAACATGTATGCTGCCAAGGCTAAGCAAAGAACTTGAAAAACCTATAGAACTGCAGGCAAATCACCCCACCTTCCTGATACTTTTTGACGGGACGAGAAGGTAAGAATTTCGACAATTTGCCCTCTGCCATATCAGAATCCTTTAGCTCTCTGTTTTTCCTTCGAATCAGCACGATCAAGACGACCAGAATCAATATGGAAGACACGGTCACCGCAATGCCAATACCCGCCACTAGTGTTAGATGGTAGGAATGACGTTTATGACTTTTATTATCGGAAACACCTGGTATCGTTGGCCCCGGACTTGCAGCAGCTGATGGACTTGGGGCAATATCTGGGGTAGCAAAAGAAGGGGATGGAGCTGAAGAGAGCATGAAGTTTAAATCACTCTATAATCTAAGTTGGAGAAGAGGAACTTGAGAAAATATAATTATTCATTCCATCTTCAGAGGTTGCTAAAAATATATGCTTACATAAACTTAACAACTAACTGGTGCACAATCGTATCCCCATAACAATGTTAACAACATAGTGCAAATGATAGTGTAATGGCTCAAGCCTACAGCTAGCAGACTTCCCCTCAAGCTTTACAACCCTCAAGCTTTACAACTAGCTAGCAGACCTCCCCTCTTTGAACCTTCCCTTTCAGGCTTCCCCTCAAGGTTTTAAAAAGCATTTACTAGGGAGAGGTTTCCACACCCTTGTAAGGAATGTTTCGTTCCCCTCTCCAACCAATGTGGGATCTCACAATTCACCCCTCTTGGAGGCCAGTGTCCCCGTTAGCACACCATTTGGTGCTTGGATCTGATATCATTTGTAATGGTCCAAGCACACCACTAGCAGATATTGTTCTCTTTGGGCTTTCCCTTTCGAGCTTCTCCTCAAGGTTTTAAAACACGTCTTTTAGGGAGAGGTTTCTACACCCTTATACGGAATATTTCGTTCCCCTCTCTAATCAATGTGGGATCTCACAAATTGCAAGAAATAGCAAAAAGAAACACCTAGCCATGCAAACGAAGAAGTTTTGACCCTTGCCTATCCTTGCCTATGAGGCTCTACAAAAAGAAACTAATCCATTTTCCCATTTGCATTTTTGTACATCCATACCTGGAGGCTTGTCAAGACCTTGAACTCCAAAGAAGCATGTTGCAAGATCAACGACTGAAGCAGTATCAAGATGGCTAGCAAGTGCAACAAACGTCGCATCGCGACAAGTATTTAACGTTATATTGTCTTCTCTTCCAATCAGATTACGTAGATACAAAATCCCAGCATTGATACACTTCCTGCAAACACTTTCCTCCAAGAGAGGCAATTCACAATTGTCACTAACATTTGAGAAACTTGGAGATTCCAGCATTTGTTCGACAGTTTCTCGACCTCTACACGCGTAATTCACTGTAATCTTTGTCCCAACCCCACAGAAACCAGTGGCATTTCTAGGAACTCCATACAGTTCCATGGTTTCAAACAATGATTGCAGGCAAATGTTAGACAAGTTTGAAGAAACTCCTAGTTCACCAGTCACATTAGCAAGCTGAGCAACAGAAACTGCAACAAATGCATTGATATAGCGGCAGCATTTCCCTCTTTCATTGGGGTTAGAACAAATAGAAGCAGCTAAAGTAAAGTTTGATCCACTCAAGTTCAAGGGACAATCTGTGAAAGTTTCAGAACATTAAGGAATTATAAGCCAACCATTTGAACATAACATTTGCTCCTGAAAAATCCTGAAATATGTTCATCTTAACACAAAGATCAACAAGAGAACCAAATCAAGCTCAGGCTCCAGCAAAGACAATGGCGCATTTAAGAAGAAAAACGAGACCTACCCATTTAACCCTGAATCATTTTATCGCTGTTCATAGTGTTCTAAGAAGACTAAAACCCCATTTCCACAAACACCATTTCCACCAAAAACTCCCACTAGATCAGAGAAATAAACTCCAGAAAAGAAATCACAGAGAAAATGGAAGATCAATCAACAGAGACAGAGACGAGTTTCGTTTGAATATTCAATCAAATGCGACAAAGAGACTAACCCGCCATTGTTTCTTGAAGAAACAGAAGAAACCCAATTAGAAACAAAGCTCTACTCACTGCGATCGCCGCCATGGTGAAGGCAGAGACCCTTTGTCGTCGTCGGAGCTAGCGAAGAAGCCAATGGCGCCAAGGAACGGCGGCCGTTTTAGCACATTTTTAAGAAGCTTTAAAAGGGGAGAGAGTGAGGAACTAAGCAATGGTTCAAGCGCGTGAGAAAATGTCACTAACAATTATAAAAAGCAAAAGAAAAAAATGGAAACTAAAATTTGGGTATAGCAAAAGGAAGATTAGAGTAGCAAAGTTGAGTCAAAAAGACAGCGTTGAGTACCAAATTCATCATAGTTTGTTCAATTTATGATTGTTAGCTTCAAAAGTCACCAATTTAAGACACAATGACGCCAAAAAAACACCAACCAAACAATCTTCTGAGTGCATTTATTAGCAAAATACGAAACTGTAGACATTATTTCGGTTTCATATTCAATTATTCAAACTTTACATTCAATTAGTGGCTTTAATAATCGTATGAAACTGTAGTTTAAAACCCAGATTTAGAATAATTAGAATCTTAAACATTCCAAGAGAAAAGTGGATAAAGACAAATTATCCTAAAGTTCTTCTTTTTCTTCTTTTCTTTT